TTCTAAAAAAAACTCTAATGAAAAACATGACCAACCTCAACTGTTTCAGATGCTCGACAGATGTATACAACGTCATCTTCTTCGTCCTCATCATGCATTGGCAGTGAAAGGCGATTCACCTAAATTTTAACCTGCGTAATTCTTACAAAACTTATTGTTAACTAATCACTCAATTCAACTAAAAAGAAATAGCCAAATTAACAAAAAAAAACTCTACCAGTGCTAATAACTGTAATCCAAGCAGCACAACACGTTTCTTCTCATCATCACAGCTGTGAAGATGATCTTCACCACAGTTACATAAATCTGACAAAGGCCGCTCACCCCAATCAGCCAGCTGAAACCATTCATGGTACTCCATAAACAGGCTATAAACTATGACTAGAAGAACAATTGCTTACTCTCTCCAATTCAAAGCAGACCCTCTCGAACACAAACTTGACAATGTCTTGCTTTGGCGGTGCATTTCGTCGCCCAGCCAGTTCCATATGGATAGCGCGATCGTTAAGGGTATGTAAAAAGGTTTCCAGAAACGCTTGGAACATTGTCTGCGTTGACATGTGGAGCGGTGTTAGATGTCTAAAACAGCATGTCTTCACGCAAAGAAGTATACTTTACGAAAAGTAAGATCTACTAACGTTTGCTGCAAGATCAGCGCATGACTCCACAATTCGTAACACTTATCAACATGACCTAAGTCGCTGTAGATAGCTCCTCGGAAACGGAGGTAGTAATGGACATCAGCGTGAGCACCTCCAAGAATGCGCTCCCGAATGAGTAAAGACTAAAAATAATTCTCTCAATTTGCTACTTGGATGTTTTGGAAGAAATGGCACAGGGTAGATAGCAATTGGAGGTTGCTCATAATAAAGATAGCAAGAAAAAAATCCATGACCAGAGATGAAAGGAAGTACATATTTACCTGCAAGCGTATAGCATCCGGACTGTCTTCGATTGCTGCAATATCCTCTAATGTTTGTATCTCCTTGTGTCCCTCATAAACTTGTGCTACCTCGAACCGTTCAACTTCTTCTTCCACCTAAATCTTCTCATGTATCCCTCACATGCGAGAGATGAGACGCAATAAGATATCGCACATGTTTTTGTTCTTCTTCCGTGAGTGGTACTTGCAATGCATCATTCCAAGCCTCAATTGCTCCAACCATATCCATCTTCTTATCCACTCTTGTGCATCCTAGCAATTTCAGTGCATCACGTCGTTTCTCGCCCGAATCACAATATTCTAGCAGCATGGGCAAAATCTAAAAGGATGTTCCAGGTGGACCATTATTTTTTAACTACAACTTGAAAGACCTACCCAATCGGCACCAATCATTACCGCGCACATAAGTGGGCACACACCAAACTCATCCGGAACAAGGCGAGCGCCAGCATTCAGTAAAAGGGCGCAAACTTCTAGATTTTCTCCTTCAACAGCGTCATGCATCGCCGTGTTACCTTCAAGAATAGAAGTAATGGCGCTTAGATGTCAAACGATGTAGAACCTAGTAACACACCTTTCTTACTACTTCTGTTAACGTCAGCTCCACAACTGATGAGATATTTGACTACATCTACCTGGAATATGAAATACCTATTCAACCAAACTTGTAAAATTCTCAAAAATTCAGCAACAAACTTTTTGTCGATAAGCAGCAATCATCAACGAAGTATGACCATGCTGATTCGCTATCTCGATATCCGCGCCATGTTCCACCAGATACTTTACTGAAAATGTCAATAGCAGTAAGTCTAGAAAACTCCCAACCTTTCGTGAGTTAGAATTCCATCAGAAAGATATAAAAATAGAATAAAGACTCTTACATGATATTTATATTATCAAGATTACGCGACCACATGCAAAGCACTACAGATCCGTTTTCAATTCAACAGTCACCTTGAAGTAACTGATAGCTACTCCCAATCAATATCAAGTGAGTCCCAGCTTATTGAGTGAGCTCGTTTTCCTCTAGTCGTCTAACTATGCGTTGTAATAGTACGGCGATTTCAGCCCACTTGTCTTATCTTAATTATGGTAAAACTCGCCTGACCCTGAATACTTTCAACGGCTGAATAAATGCGAACAGTGGAGATGAAACGAGTCCAAAAATCCAAAAAGTGGCCCCACCAGTTTGCAGAGTTTGCGACTTTTTTACGATAAGAAACTAAGATAATGAAGGTTTGGATAGGACGCTAGAGATAGCGCTCTCTCGTATCAACTTAAAGTAAACAAATGCTAATAACGAAGAAGCTTATGACGTTCCAACAAAAACATAAACAGACATGTTTAACAAAAGAATTCCAAGGCCTTGCTATGGATAAAAATGGACATGAAAAAAGGAGCAAAACTCACCAATTTCTAGATGGCCATCATAGCAAGCGCCACGAAGAGGTGTACTGCTAGTGTTGGTAGTCTGATTGATATTCGCCCCAGCTTCTTCAACAAGAATGCGCACAACCTTAAATTGCATTTGCAAGTAGGTAAAAGAATATAGAGGTATAAATCGATGCACTAAATTTTTAGATATAAAGACATGACTCCTGACTACCTCGAACTTCCCAGCCGCAGAAGCTGCCCATAGAGCTGGAGCGCCCACTGAAAAGATTGGCATTCAAGCAACACAAACGCATAACGTAATCTGATTAAAAAATTAAAGTGCAAAATAGAGGACGAGCGTATGAACTATTGAATTTTGATAAAATCAACAAACGTGATTACTGGTTTTTCTGGATAATATCACCAAAACAGGTTTAAAACGATGAAGTAGGATTCAGAAAACAATAAGAGTTGAATACTCACAAATTGTTTCGCCATCGAAGGAAACTGTACCGGCAACGTTTGGATCTGCACCCTTTTGAAGCTGAAAGGGAATGATATTAGATCCAAAAGACTATTTTCTTTATAACGATACTTTGGAAAGAAAGTTAAAGTATGAAATTATGCTACATTGCTTTTAACTGCTAAACTTATGATTAAATTCTGATTATTTTTGGTGCCATCGGAAGTAACCAACAGATGAAATGATTTAAAAAAAAAATCAAGCTGGAAAGTATTGATTTAGAAAAACAGCATAAGATATTTTTTGCTAGTTTTGAAGAGAAATCAACAGTTGAACATTTTAATGCCACACGGAGATTCAAGAAATTTGAATACAA